ACTACTACTACTACTACTACAATACATTTGTGCCATATCTAAAAACAAGGAAAACATATTTCTTCCTTCAGAAATATGTGGAAATTGCAATCAATAAATTAATCAAATGAATTTTGCTTGATTAGTTATCTATTAAAACATTATTCAGTTGGGTTGTGCTTCTAATTCATATCTTTCTTTCTTTTTTAGAAATAGTATCACAATGTACCATCTGTGTATGGTGTTGGACCAGAATTCAAATCCATATCAAAACAATTCTACCACTAGGAATTAGAGGTGGGGATGTTGGGTGGTGAGAATACCAGGGTCCCATTCACACTACATAATTATAGTACTGGTACTATTATTCCATTTTAACTGCCATGCTTCAGTTCTCTGGAATCCCAGGATTTGTAGTTTTGTCAGGGACTAAAGTGCTCTGGCTGAAAATTCTAAATAGCCATCCCTAAATTGTCAGTCCCAGGGCTCCATAGGATGGAATAATGGCGGTTAAAGTGGAATAATAATGCTATAATTCCATAGTGTGACTGGGACCCAGTAATCAAGACAGACAGATAGGAACCAAGCAACCCATTGCCAATATTCAACTTGCAGTTTGGTCAATTTCTGTACATGGAATTTGGAGTGGGAGCCATTATGTCTTTTGCCTCTTGCAGCATGTCCAGACTTCACTGGCTGTGGAGCCCATGGAAAGCCTTTGGCCAGTTGTTCTCTCTCAGCTTCTCACAGGGTTGTTGTGAAGATAAAACAGGGGGTGAGAAATTATGCTCTAGTTTGCCTAGAGCTAACTGAGATGCTACAGACTAGAACCAGACTAAGCCCAGTGGGTGTCCCCACCCAGGTGTCACCCTGTATGTGGGGGATGCCAGGTGGGCAGTGGCCACCAAAAGGGCATGCTCAGCCCTCTCCTTCACCAGTGCAATGGAAGTCTCCTTGTGAAGAGGACTCTGCTGCTGAGGGAAAGCCAGGAGATGCTCTCTCAGGTTGCTGCCACAGCGGAGGCCACCTCATGAGGAGGCCTCTGCCACCACAGCAAAGCCAGAAGGGGTGCAGTGGCAGGAGGGCCCAATGAAGTGTCACCTCTCTTCTGGGGGTGTCATGAAGTGTGGTCTGCACTCCCCGCATCCCAAAAGTGATGCCACAGATTAGGCCCACCACCCCAAAACAGATTTATGGGTAATCAGATTGAGACAAATCCAAGGGACTTTTTTGGTGATTATTGACGCAGCAAGTGTTTCATAGTTGGGGGGGGGGTACAATCCTTTCATTCAGTGATGCTCAAGGTTGTAGTCCACAGACCCGTGCCAGTCTCTAGACATTGATTCCCAGTCTTTGGTGAGTTTCCAGGAAACAATGCTGATATGGTATAAATATGGTACTGATCCCTGGCACACAAAAATTGCCAGTACACCACATCTGATAAGAAGAACTGCTTTAGCTGACAGAGAGCCAGAACCCCTTTGTAGCAGATGGTGGGCTGGGACCCCCTAAGTAACAGATCCCATCCAAACCATCCTGGAGCCAATACATGGTTGGCACATACCTCCCACTGCCCCAAGTGAAATCAAAACATGGGCATTAGCCTAAAGTTTAAATACCAAAGGGTGGCAACAATTTTACAATGGTAATACAATCTATCCCTTCCTCCATGTCTAGAAACTGCAAGATTGGTGGGAAAAGTGAAGAGCTGAAGTAAAATCACTCCTACGCACTACTCCCAGCTAGGCTGAAAATCCTCACAAGACAGCACATGCTTAGCTGCCAGGATGAACAGTGAGGTCAGACTCCTCTGCAAAAACAAAATACGGTAATCCCTGCCATACACTGGGCAGCCATGTATCAACTGTCTGTGATACTGCCCACTGCCTGGTGCCAAATGCCACACCTTGCACACGTGGAATAGAACTATAGTAAAATATGGTCTTAAGCAATTTCGTTTTAAGAAATATAGATTTAAGAAACTGCATACTTTTACATGATCATCACATGCGAGGCTATGAAACACTAGAACAACATCCCATACAAATCTTATAAAGAACACCGGAAGTTTTCCAGCAGTTCAAACAGTTGGCATCATAATTCTGGTCCATGTCAACAATCAGTACATGACTTACCATTAAATAACTATTACAGTTTCCATTCAAACACAACTGCGCCCATGAAGTTCATGTAGACTTGAACTGCCAATATAGGCATAATTAAGAAACTGGGGAAGTTGCCCTTAAATGAGTCAGAGCCTCTTGTTTCATGTAGCTCAATATGGTCTATGCTGATTAGAAGTACCTTCCTAGGGGTTCAAACAAGAGTCTTTCAGAGCCATACTTGGAGATGGCAGGGACTGAATCAGGGAATTTCTGCATGCAGAGCAAATACGCTCCCTTCCCAAGCACAGATAAATCAAGGGAGGTTATTTGCATAATACTATCCATGTGTGAAACTAGCCTTTACATACTACTCCAGTTGGGTTTTGCAATAAAAGGCTTGCCTGCATGGCTAGAAAGATTCATATGCCTGACCAAAGTTTAAGCTTTCAGAGAATAAAAACCACTGCATTTTTAAAAAATATTCCCTTTGGGGAGCCTTCCCTGTACCTAATGCTAGAGTCTTGAAATTAAGTCTTATTTCAGCCCTCAGCAAATTACTTTCTCTCTTTCAGCTTTCATTCCCATTCTGTAAAATGCTAATAAAAACAATATACTAGCCTTGACAGAGTTGTTTTCAGGATTGTCACACCTAAAGGTGCCATAGTCTAGAAGAGAGTTCTCACTCCTAGTATTCTTGTTATTAGCATTCTCACTCCTAAAGATGACTTGGGTCCAAAATACACTGCAGAAATAATCCAGTTTGAGACTGCTTTGACTGCCCTGGCTCAATGCTAAGGAATTCTGGGAAGAGTAGCTTTGTGAGACATTTAGACCAGAGCAGTGCCACAATAAATGACAATTCCCAGGATTCCCCTGCAGCGTGTTTTGGACCTGTATCTCAGGGGCTGTGTCATAGATTAAATGCATCTCTACCCAGAGATAATTGCTTTTCAGTGTGTTTGTTTGTTTTCAGGAAGAAAGAAAAAAAAGATCTGCATAAAAGATGTGGAAGTACAGCGCAACTATAATAAGTACGGCACAAGTAGAACCCATTAAATAGCTGGGTATGAAGCAGCTGCTCCAACGTATGCTGTCACAATGGGAAAAATACATGCAGGCAGTTAATTGGCTATTTTCAAATAACAGCAATAACAATAGGGGGGATGAAAAGGAAGAGGAGGAGGTGATGGTCATATATGTTGATATATATATATATATATATATCTTCAATAATCCTTTCAACAACCCTTTAAGGTAGATCAAGGCATATTATTATTCCCATATGGCCAGTGGGAGTGAGCACTGGAGCTGTGAAATAGCAGCTTGTCTAAAGTAAGCTTTGCATGGTTGTGAAATAGCAGCTTCTCTAAAGTAAGCTTTGCATGGTTGTGGTGAAATTTGAACTGGGAAATCTATAGATGCAC